CTTCCCCGTGACAAGGTGTGGGGCTTTCTCGGTGCCTTCTTGGGGCCCCATCTTGGAGCCCTCCTGCGCCTCCTGGAGCCCTCCTGGAGCCTTCTTGGACCCTTCCCAGGGCCCTCGGAGGGGCTCAAGAGGGCCTCCAGATGGGGCAAACACCTTGTCACGAACGAGACCCTTCCCCGTGACAAGGTGCGGGGCTTTCTCGGTGCCTTCTTGGGGCCCCATCTTGGAGCCCTCCTGCGCCTCCTGGGGCCCTCTTGGACCCCTCTCAGGGCCCTCGGAGGAGCCCAGAGAGCCACCAGATAGCCAACAACCTGTCACGAACAAGGCCCCTCCCGTGACAGGTTGTTCGGCTATGTTGGGGCCCTCTTGGGCCCCCTTTCTCAGGGCCTACCTGCGCCTCTTGGGGCCGCCATGGCGCTTTCACGTGTCGTTCGCATGATATTCGGAGGGGCCCGAGAGGGCCTCCAGAGGGGCCAACAACCTGTCACGCACAATGCTTTTCTCCGTGGCAGGTTGCCAGGGTCTCTCGGGGCCCTCGTGGGGCCTCTTCTTGGGCCTTCCAGTGCCACTTGGAGCTCTCTCGAGGTTCTCCTTCTGGACCTTTCGCGGGGCCCTCGGAGGGGCCCAGGGCCCCCAGATGGGGCCAACAACCTGTCACGAACACGGCCCTTCCCCGTGGCATGTTGTTGGGCTCTCTCGGGGCCCTCTTGGGTCCCATTCGTGGGGCGCGTCCAGGGCCTCTTGGAGCTCTCTCGGGGCCCCCACTGGACAATTCTCAGGGCCCTCGGAAGGGGCCCGAGAGCTCCCCCCCCCCCCCCCCCCCCCCCCCCCCGAAGGGGCCAACAACCTGTCACGAACAATGCCCTTCCCCAGTGGCAGGTGGCTGGGCGGTATCGGGGCCCTCTTGGCCCCCTCGAGGGCCATGGGAAGGTCCCGCCGTTCTTGATCGATCGGCAAGGCCCCTCCTGGGGCCCTCTTGGGCCCTTCCGATGGCCATGAGAAGGGGCCCTCCGACGGCCAAGAGAAGGGTCCGCCGTTCTTGGGATCATCTTGGGCCCCTCCGATGGCCATGAGAAGGGCCTGCCCATCAACCCGTCCGCCGTTCTTGATCGAGCGGCAGGGAAGAGCCGCGGCGCCGCCCATCGCCGCCGCGTTCGCCCAGGGCCAAGGCCATGGGCAGGTCGAAGAAGTCGACCGCCCAGGACCAGGCCGCCGCCGCGGTTCCCGAGTCTGCGTCGCCCCGAGGCGCGGTGGGTTGAATAGCGACGACGGCGACGGCGATTGGCGACGCCGACGACGACGACGACGACGACGGCGGCGATGAAGGCGATGACGACGACGGCGCCGTGCTGGCGACGACGACGACGACGAGGACGACGACGGCGACGGCGACGACGGCGGCGACGACGGCGGCGACGAGGACGACGACGGCGACGGCGACGACGGCGACGGTGACGGCGGCAACGGCGACGGCGACGACAACGGCGACGGCGACGACTGCGACGACGACGGCGGCAGCGACGACGACGACGACGAGGCCCATGCCCCCATTGGTGCTTGAGGGGGTCCCCGATGGCAGGGCGTCGCCCTGCCAAGATGTTTCGTTTTGCTTTGGCGCCCGAGAGGCCCGCTGAAGCCCAAGAAGAAGGGCATCCTCGCGTGCGACTCGTGCGCGCGCTCGTCCAAGGACTTCGAGGGGGGCGGTTGCAACGGTAGGGGGATGACGATGGGTTGGGAGGGTTGAGGAATGGGGTGGGCGGACGGGATGGAGGCGGGCATGGGCGGGTCGTTCCGGACTGGCGGGTGGGGGATGGGCGATGAGGACGAGGAGGGAGGCGGAGGGGGGGATAGACCTCCATGGAGGATTGGAAGGAGGGGGGTGGAGGAGAAGATAAGGACGATGAGGTCTGGGAGGAAGGCGGGGCGGCGCGGGCTGGGAGGAGGGATCACGATGTGAACATGGAGGAGGGAGGTGGATGGGGAGGACTGGGAGGAGGGAAGCTGACGATGAGGACTGGGGGGGAGGGGGGCGGATGCGGGGGATAAGCCTCCATCGAGGAGGTGCGCGTCATGCTGTGCACCTGGATCGCAGACTCCGACGCGGCCGCCCAGGTGGACGAGGAGGGCTGCGGGGTGAAGAAGGCGAAGAAGGACGCCGCCGTGGAGGCCAAGGAGGTCCACGCGTGCGACGAGTGCGCGCGCTTCTACACCATCACCATCCCTGGCTGCGACATCGCCAGGGTCGTTCTCGACAAGCTTGCCGACGAAGCCATGGCCGTGGAGATCGACGACAGCATGGCGCAGAGAGGATCCGAGGTGTCCCAGGCGGCGCTTGACCCAGCTAGCATATCGGCGTCGGTGCAGAAGAAAACCTCGGTGCAAGTGCAGGAGACATACTTGGTGCTCAACCATTACCAGGTCGTCGAAAAGTTCAAGAAGACGCCGAAGGCGCTGAAGATGAAGTGTCTCAAATGGGTGAACCGTTTCGGCGAGAAGGAGCTCTTGTACATCAAGCAGGATGAGCCGTCGTCAGGACGCAAGCTGGTTCTCACGACCGAGCTTGCGACGGTTGGCTTCGAGTACACAGGATTGCACGATCAACCCAAGATGTTCGAGTCGCAACTGGATCGGTGCTTGCAGGTGCTGCGAGATCGACCCGTGAACGCCATGTTCAGCGGGATGCAGCTCCAGCGCGTTCCGACCGACCAGTCCTTGAATAAGAGGGTCGAGGAGCTGGACAAGCTGGGGGACTCTCGGAAGAAGAAGATCGTGACCCCGTCGAAGGGGGATGCTCTGACGTACGACGCGGAGCTGCAGGATGAGAGCGACGCCGACTCGGGCGGCCAGGATGACACCGCCCTCGATGAGGCCTTCAGCGACGATGAGGAAACACGGGGCCAATACTGTTGAGGACGCCGACGACGACGACGACGTCGTCGTCGTCGTCGTCGTCGCATCTCGACCCTATCCCTGGGGCCGTCGCCGTCGTCGTCGTCGTCGTCGTCGTCGTCGTCGTCGTCGTAGTCGCCGTCGTCGTCTCGACCCCATCCTGGGAACCGCCGCCTCTCGACCCCATCCCTGGGGCCGTCGCCCATCCCTGGGGCCGACGCCTCTCGACCCCATCCCTGAGGCCGTCTCGTCGTCGTCGGCGTCTTCGTCGCATCGTCGTCGCCGCTCGACCCCGCCCCTGGGGCCGTCGTCGTCGTTGCCTCTCGACCCCATCCCTGGGGCCGTCACCCGTCCATGGGGCCGTCGCCGTTCGACCCGACCCCTGGGGCCGTCTCGTCGTCGTCGTCGTCTCGCCGTTGCCTCTTGACCCCGCCCCTTGGGCTCTGTTCGCGTCCCCAGATAGATCGGCGTTGCGATGGAAACCGCTCCATGTCCGCTCGCTTCTGAGGGTTGCCCCCGCCCCTGAGGGCACCCCTGAGGGTGCCCCTTGCAGAGCGCGGGGTCGCCCGCCGCCCCGCGGTCGAGCTCGCCCCCCGAGCCCATGGTCGGGTGCAATGGGGGCGGGAGTACGGGGGCCTCGCATGCGCCTCCCCCATCTAGTTACGTAGCATCTCTCACGCGTTTCGTGCCACAAAAGGGAGCTCCGCCTGAGGACTCAGCGGTGACGTTCACTTGCGTCTCTCCCGCCCTTGTCTGCGCACCCCTCGCGCGTTTCGTGGCGCCAGGGGGGGCTCTGCCCAGGGCCCCAGCGTCGACGTTCACGTGCGTTTCCTTCCGCCCATCACTGCGCAATCCAAAAGTTTTCGGATGCCCCGCAGTGGGTTCACGGAAAGGCCGCAGTGGCGACGTTCACATGCGTCTCTCCCGCCAAGTACTGCGTAACCCCAACGCGCTTCCATTGTCCCAGGTGGAGCACCGCATAAGGCCCCAGTGGCGACATTCACATGCGCTCCCCCCTCCCAGTATTGCGCACACATCACGCGTTTCGCGGCCCGTAGGGAGCTCCGCTTGAAGCCCCCCTGGCGTCCTTCACATGAGTTCCCCCACCCAATATCGGGCACCCCTCGCGCTTTGTGGCCCCATGGGCAGCGCGCGCGAAGGGTCGTGCGTTTCCCGCAGGGTGACACCGCAAATCTGGTCTGGATGCTTTAGTGGGCCCTTATCGCGCCGCTTGCATTCCCAATGTAACATGCGTTCTTCACATGTCCACCCTGTGCTGCTATGCGCGGCATTCGCGCCAGCGCGCCGCGCGCGTGGGAAAGGTCTGCGTTGTCTGAGTTCGCACAGTCCCCGTGTGCCTATGAACTTCGAGCTGTTCGTTAGTGACCCCCCATGCGGGAACCATGATCCGCGCACCCGCGCGGCGCAGCCCAGATCGGCGCAATCAGTCGTGGCCGCGTCGTGCAGGACAGTGTTCTGATTTCGCTGGCCTCCAACATGCCCATTGCCTTTCTCGCCGCCCTCCTCCCCCCCCCCCCTCCCCACCCCCCCCCCCCCCCCCCCCCCCCACCCCCCCCCTAGCCGCCCCAACCCCACCACAAGCAGCCTTCACCCGTCTGCCGCGCGCTCAGGCCGCGCCCGACAAGTAAAGCGGGGGTGGGGGGGGTGGCTTTGCGGCGACCAGCGTGTAGACGCCGCCTCTCCCCCCCCCCCCCAGCGCATGTCGCGGGTCCGCAGGGTTTGCCATTCTAACACCAAGCAGACCTGGCGAACTTGAGCCTGGTAGCGCGCGGCACGCGGAGGCCTGCGGGGTCAGCGGGGGCCCCGCGGGGCCCATGGGGCGGCGGAGTGCCGTTGGTCGGGCCCCGAGGCGGCCCGCGAGGCCGCGTGGCGCTTCTGGGTCGCCGCCGTGGTCTTGGGGCCTCGGTGTCTAGGGGCACATGGGGTTCATGGGCAGTTCTGGGTCTATGAGGTCAACGGCTCTGCGGGCGCATGCTTCTGAGGGTCTAGAAGTCCAGGGGCCCCTGGGAGCGTGGGGGCTAGATCGCCCAGAGGGTCGATGGGGTCCAGGTGGGGGGTTGCTGGACTACTGATGTGACGTTGCTCCACAGGGCCCCGCCCAGAACTCGGTGGCCAAGCGCGCCCGCGACTTGGATGTCGACCCAGACTTGGATGCCGAGACCATCGGGGGCGGCCAGCTGGCGCCCGCGCACAAGGTGGCCAAGATTTCGGAGAAGCTTGGCTCGGCGCTGGACCACGGGCTCGCGACCGCCATGGGGGGCGAGGCCTCGGGCACGCAGCCCTCGCGATCCAACGGCCCCTGTGCGGCAAGCCTTGAACAGGGGAAGGGCGCGTCTGATGATCCCGCGAGGGGTACTGCTGCTTTTTGGATCGTGAGGCTGCCGCTTGACAGAACCCTGAGCGGCGACGCGCTCAACAAGGCCAAGTGGCAGGCCGAGCAGCTGCTGAACAAGAGGACCCTCGATGGCCACCAGCGGCGCAGGTTGCGGGCCCACCTCGACTTGCGCGACACTGCGATGAACTTCTGGCTCTCTCGGATCGACGATCGCTCTCTCGAGGACCTCGCGGCTGATGCGGAGAAGCTGGCGGCGGTGAACGTCGCCCTCTGCGCGAATACGAAGATGACGATCACGCGCAAGGCGGCAAAGGACTCCTGGGCCATGCTGAAGTGCACCAAGCAGCACGACGCAACAGCGATCGAGAACGCGTCTGAGTGCGTGCTCCAAGTGTTGAGGCCTTGGCGCTCGCCTGGCCAGGTCACGTTCGAGGTGTCGCACCCGTGCATGGCGGCGGCGGGGCTCTCGGACCAGAGTGTCGCCGAAGCCGTGGTCCACGAGGTGTGGGCGAATAACATATGCGAGCTGATTCCCGACGACGGGGTGAAAAGGGACCACTTGGAGACGCTCATGCAGACTATGGAGAAGCTCTGGGACATGCCAGTGGACGCAGTGATCGGCGACAAGGCCGCGACCGCGTTCGTGGAGTCCATGTCGGCGAAGTCGGCCCTGACCTACGTCCCAAACCCTGAGATCACGTTGGACTTCGACACTGACATCTTGGACACCATTCGAGAGTTGCACGCGGCGTCTCTGAAGACCTCGGGTGAGTCGTCGGTATTCTCGGCAGTCGGCCTGGCAATCAAAAACGACGTCTGGTGGGCAACTAAGTTCAACGCCGCCCTCAACGCGACCAAGGCGCTTTCCGAGCATGCCCCCAAGATCGTGGAGACGTGGGCTTCGACCCCCCCCGTGACCCCAACCTGACTAATTTGCGGCCAAGCTCGGAATGCGCTTGGTCGCGTGAGGGCGCGGTTCTACTAGTTCTCCCGTACTTCTTTTTCTCCTTTCCTTCTCCCCTTCTTCCCCTCTTCCTCTCCTGTTTCCCTTTCCTTTCCCCCCTTTTCTTCCTTTTTCCCTTGACTGCTGCCCTTTTGCCCTTAGGGGTGTCGAATTGCGCCGTGAACGAGCTGAGCGCCGCCCAGTGGTCCAATAACTTGGGCGACCTTACTTTCGAGCTTTCGGTTTTGCAAGCTAAGGTGCCCGATGCCTTCTGGAAGGAGGCAAGCAACTTCGCCAGGCTCAAGGTCGTTACCGTGGCGGACCACTTCTTGCGCATCGGGACGCGGGAGGAGTTGAGGGCGAACGGCAATGAGGAGAGGCTTGCGTTCGAAGCCCTGAGCCCGCTCATCAAAGCAGCAGTCGTTGCATTCCCATCGGACGACCACCTCAGGAACGCGGCCAGGTGCATCAGGGACGCGGTGAACCATCTCTCGAACCAGGACCAGATCATCGACTTGACGACCCTTGCGGACACGCTGGTTGCGGACGGCACTGACGAGGCGGCGGAGTCGCTGCTTGCCAAGGCGGACTCGATGAGCCAGAAGGCGCTGCAAGGAAACCACGAGGCCTTTAGGTCTGCCCTGGAGTTTGTGTCCGCCTCGTTGACAATGGATGAGATCGTGAGGGGCGAGAGCTCTGTGAAACTCAAGATACCCTGCAACTTTTCGAAGGCTTTTTCCAAGGAGATGCCCGAGCACGCCAAGATCTACAACGCGGCGCTGGAGTGCTCTCAGGCCCTGAGGCGCTTGGAGGCGATCGAGAGCAACAAGGATGCAGTCGGTCCAGGCGGGATGCCATCGCCGAAGTTCGAGAACGAGTTAACCCAGACTGTTCGGTCCAAGCTTGGCCTGAAGTCGATGCTCTCCGAGTTGCCAGCTGACTCCTTGAAGGGGTGTCGGGCCGAGGTGGATGACTTGGTGGCCCGCGTCGAGAAGACGAGAGACTCTCTCGCCCACGAGGTCGTCGAGAAGTACGCGATGAAGGCCGACTCGTCGAAGCAGAACGTCCAGGATTTGATTAAGTTTGCGGCGGTGGAGGAGTGGATGGAGCAGTCCAGCGTTTCTGTGTCGACCGCTGCCTTGGTGGCGCTCTTCAACGCCACGCTGGGCAAGGTGCCGTCCGATCGCCTGACCTGTGCGGGGGACATGCTGGATCAGGACGGAACCCTTGCCAAATGCACTGCTGCGTCGTGTCGTGCGATGGCTTCGCGGCCGAAGTTCGACGGCCTGGTGCAGGCAAGGCCGTCGGAGTGCGCCGCGAGGCTGACGCGTGACGCGGCGCTGCGGGCATTTGCTGCGGGGCCCTCCAGGACCTGAAGAAAACCCGAGAGAAGGCCGACGCGTTCGGGGTGAAGATCCACAAGCAGTACGGCGAGCGCGGCGAGTACGATGCCGACGTGACCATGGTGAACTCGCTGGGCGCCAGTGCCATCATCATGAACGGCGCTGCGCAGGGCTTGAAGGGGAACGCGATGCGCATGAAGTGCTTGGAGGCCCAGAAGATCTTCAAGGCGAACAACATCATGCCAGGGAGCCTGCCGCCCATCGTGAAGGAGCTGTTCCAGAACGGCCTCAAGCTCAAGTCCTAGGTCCTAGGCGCCCTGTTCCAGGGCCCCCTAGGGCAGGGGCCTGGGTCCGACTCCGAGTCCAGGTATCGGCCGCGATCCCTGGCGGATCATCGGCAGCGGCCTTCAGAGCAGATCACGCGTGTAGCAGGCAAGCATGAGCTATGCAGAATACGACGCCACCATTTTGTTTTCTTTCATGTGTGCCTTGCCGATCTTGGAATTCTAATCGCTCCGCGCATCCCCACCACCCCATCCAGCAACGACGCCCATGCGAGCGCAGGCGATGGGGGGATTGTAGGAGCAACGAGGGGGACAGCCGAACCGTTCGAAGGAGGAGGGCGACGACGAGGAGAAGGAGGAGGCGGATGGATGGACGGATGGATGAGGGAGTAGGGAGAAGGATGCTGAATAGGATGAGGAGGAGGAGAAGGGGGAGGAGGATGAGGATGCGGAGAATGAGGAGGAGGAGGAGGATGGGGATGGATGAGGAGGGCGGGCAGAGGGGCTAGAGGCCTCTTGGATGCCCCTCGGCATCTCCTGGTATATCTTTTGGGCGCTTCTTGGGTGCCTCTTGGGGCGTATCGGGGTCTCCTGGCGGTCCAGGGGGGCTCGTTGGCGTCTTGGGCGCCTCGGGGGGGGGGGGGCTCTTAGAGCATCTTGGAAGCCAGATTGAAGCATCTTGGGCTATCTTGGGCCATTCTGGATGCCACCTTGGGATCCCCAAGGCGCTCTTGGAACCGTTGGGGGCAATCTTGGACGCTCTGACCGCTCGCGAACCTCCCCGTCCAGGTCCAGGGGAAGGGGGTCGGGGGATGGGTAAACCCATCCCCGAAGGAGAAGCAAGGGGTTGGAAAAGGAAACCCCCTAGACCACCTACGCCCTAAAAAGCTTGTGGGGTGACGGTGCCAGGATTTGGTAGTGGCGCCGTGGATTCGTAGTCTCGTTGGCCGCGCGGCTCGCGCAGGGCGCGCGGGCGTTGCTGTCGCGGCGTGCGCTGTGCGGAGGAGACCCGCCACGTCGCGTGACCTTTGAGAATTCGTCGTGTCCATTGGGCCGCCGCGTGTCGCTGCCACCGCCGTCATTCCTGATCGAGGTGCTCCCAGCCTTCCTTGGGAAACCGTCCGATGGTTCGACGTGGGCGGGCGCCCTATCCAGTCCATCATTTACTCATTCCCCCCCGCCCCCTCCTTTCCGCGTTCTACCTGGGGGCCTCGTTGACCGACCCCCGTCGTCCTCGCAGCTCCAGCGTCGATTTTGACATGGAGGAGTTTGCGTCTGTGACGTCATTTACGAGGGCGTAGCCTCGGGGGCGCATGTGCGGCTGCATTTCGGCGGGGTCGTGGCCTCGGGGGCGGTGCATGCGGTCGCCATCACAGGGCCTTTCGTTCAGAAGCTGTGGTTTCAAGTGTAGTGGTTAATGACGGGCGCGTTTAGCAATTCCCATGAATGGTCACCTACTCGTTGTGCTATGCCATAAATGTAGTACGCCCGCGCACATATACGACGGGTTTGCCCTCGTTCGCGTGTAAAGCGCACCACAAACCTGCGCGTACAAAACAAACTAAAACAACATCCAAAACAGTTCTAAAACAGTTATTGGCGCGCACATTTGCGCGAGTTCTAAAACAGTTCTGAAACAGTACTTTTCGGTGTATATCTTCATTCCAGAGTCTAGCAGGATCGGAACATTATAACCCTGGAACGGTTCCGGGGTGAAAATCCACCTGGGACCTCCCGACACTGAGCGGGAGGACCCAGCCGCGAAAAACAAACTCCCCAATTAGAGATTTCATTTGGAAAATTGCAATTTTGGGGGCTTGGGTACACCCCCCCATCCCCGAGAGAGCCGTTTTGCGCGGGGAGAGGGTCCCAGGTGGATTTTCACCCTGGAACGGTTCCGGGGTGAAAATCCATCTGGGACCTCCCGACGCTGAGCGGGAGGGCCCAGCCGCGAAAAACAAACTCCCCAATGAGAAATTTCATTTGGAAAATTGCCTTTTTGGGGGCTCGGGTACACCCCCCATCCCCGAGAGAGCCGTTTTGCGCTGGGAGAGGGTCCCATGATGGATTTTCACTCTGGAACGGTTCTGGGGTGAAAATCCATCAGGGACCTCCCGACGCTGAGCGGGAGGGCCCAGCCGAGAAAAACAAGCTCCCCAATGAGAAATTTCATTTGGAAAATTGCAATTTGGGGGGCTCGGGTGCACTCCCTCCCCCCCATCCCGGGGAGGCACCCACAAGGCTCCTCCCCCGACCGCCCACCGCGTCTGAACCTAAGCGCGTGCGTTTGTATATGCGAGCAGCGTCATCATTTAGGGCAACGCGTGCGTGTTTTGAGGTGTATAGCGCTAAGAACAAGGAAAACGACACCAGAAAGATCAAAACCAATCATATCTTATTGTAGCGGCGCTAAGTTTTAGGACTTGGCGCCTAGGGTGTCTTATCGTGTGTGGGCGATCATGGACCTCATATTCGATATCATCACCAACGTCCGCCATTTCGATCATCGCTGTCCGTCACCCGTATCATAGCCATTTGGGTTTTTATATTTCTTTCGAGCTGGTACTGCAAATGCCCAGCCGACGGCAGTCAGTTGACCTCTCTGAACAGGAATACAAAGATGTTCTCAGCTTGCTTCCGATTACGAGCCGCAGCAAGAACCAGTTCATACCTTACCCGTCTACGAACATGAAAGCAGCAGTGAGTTGGATGGCAGCCAACAGGTATAGGTCAGCGTTGAGTCTTTCACTACTGAAATCAAACGGACTTTGTCTGAACCAGCAATCGTTCTACAAAGCTGCACTCAAGTTTGTCTCCGAACACGGCATCGACATAGTTTCCGACGAAGTCGAAAGAGGAGTTTACAGGTTTCGGACTATAATTTCCCAGTTCGGTAATATGAAGAGCAAAGGTCGAGGCATCCCGCGCCAGTGGCGCAAGGAGTTCTCAATGATTTTGGGAATGGTTGCATCTACTGATGAGGAACATCCACGTTCGATCTCGTCGAAGATGGGGACTCCCGCCATTGAGGATGAGGCTGCTGCGGACTCGGACGACGACGTCATATGTATGGGCACCCCACCTCGCAAACCTGTACCAGTTCTTGACGTTGAGGCACCTGTGGACACGTGTTCCAAGGACGCGTTGATGACCTCTTCGAACCCAGAGCTCCAGAAGATTTTGGAGGAGGCCTTCCAGGACACGAGTGGCAAGCACGAGGACCCTGGCCAGAAAAGGAAACGCTTCACATCCAAGAGTGCGGACCCAGCCTTCGCGAAGCAGATCGGGGGGATCGACACCGTATCGCTGAAGGAACTCGTCACTGCACCCTCCGCTGGCGTGGCCCCAGCGTCTTTCGCGGCTCTGAATCGCAAGCTCAAGAGCGAGCTCAAGGCCAAGAAGGCGATGCAGGTGACGAAGACGATGAAGGCGATGAAGGTGATGAAGGCTGAGAAAACTAAGAGTGGCAATCCAGAAAAAATATCCTTCGGCAAGTGGGTGAACCGCGAGCACAGCAAGGTGTGGCACAAGCAGGTGCAGGTCGGCATGAAAGAACTCTCACTCGACCTTCCGAGCGCCAGGAAGAGGGCGAGCGAGATGGCGCGTGCCAAGGCAGCAGAATGTAGGAGGCTGAGGGCAGAGCACAAATTGCCTGAGTTCGTTGAGGACCAGCTTTAGTCGTTGAACATATTGTGCGAAGGCCTGTTTGCACGGGGGGTCGCAGCGGCCATAGAACGTATCACAACTGATCGTCACCATCATCATCATCATCATCATCATCAACATCATCATCACCACCATCATCATGATCATGATGATCATCATCATCATCATCATCATCATCATCACCATCACCATCACCATCACCATCAGCAGCAGCAGCATCATCATCATGAGCAGCATCATCATCATCATCATCATCATCATCAACATCATCGCATTCGTCATCGCCGTCATCGTGGTCGTAGTCATTATCATCATCATCATCATCATCATCATCATCATCATCATAATCATCATCATCATCATCATCATCATCATCATCATCATCATCATCATCACGGATTTCACCATTGGAGCCCTCCCTGGGGACCTCAGGGAGCCCTCCCAGGTCACGTATACGTGTGGCAGGGCCGCAGGATTCTCACCGTTGGAGCCCTCCCAGGAGGCACTTATGGGCAGAAACGCAGGTTCGCTTGACCCTCCCCCCCCGCAGGTTATGCACCCAGGGGGCCAGAGTCGCTGTCCCACTCGAGACTTCCTCACAACTTAGCAACACAAGAGTGCAGGACTACGCAATTCTCGCTTGAAGGTATGTGCGTTGGATTTCGGCGAAGGTCTGACTTGCAGTGCGAGCGCGATGATTATGATGATGGTGATGGTGATGATGTTGATGATGATGATGATGATGATGATGATGAGGATGAGGATGATGATGATGATGCTGATGATGCTGATGATGATGATGATGGTGATGATGGTGGTGGTGCTGATGATGATGACGACGACGGCGACGACGACGAAGACGACGACGACGGCCCCTGAAATATACCTGAAGAGCGGCCCCTGAAACATCCTTCGAAGCCCAGGCTTTCGGCCTGATGATAGTGATGATACACCACTCCCTCAGCAGTCTCACAATAGCATTTCCAGGGACCACGGGGACAACCATTTGGGCCACCACCTTAGGCCCCCAGAGATCTCTGAATCATCTGCGGATGACCCTTAGGATGATGATGATGCCGATGATGATGGTGACGACGACGCCGATGAGAACTCCTGAACTCTCGGGCAGCGCTGTCCCGTGCAAGCACAGTAAGCTGGATACGGTAGCATCGCCATGAAACGGCTGTAAACGCTGTAACTCCCCTTCCGCTGACCCGACGTCTCCCCAAACTTGCCATTGGCCTTTCTGGACGAAAGGGGCCAGCAGGAAAAGACAGAATCGACAGAATTCTGTTTTTTTCTGTTTGGTTTCGGTCTTTTTGGTGGTGGGGGCTCCCTCGTCGCCACCTCGTCGC